GTGTGTATGTTGAAAGTTTGATATAATGTGCTATCATTGGGATAACTTACAACAAACTATGCTGTTCAAGACTTTTGAACCCAAGATACGGTTAAATTTGTACTTTGAAATATTATATCCAATTAAAAATAAGGACAGTTGGGAGGTCTAAAGATAAAATAAAGGATACTGTTGCGTTGCTCCTACTAATGAAGCTGACGATTTGCTATCTTGTAAGGCTACATGCCCACCACCATTTTACCCGTATCTTTCAACATGCAATTGCAATTACTTTTTCACTTAATTAATATTTTAAAGTTTATGCTATAATTTAAAGGGAAGGGCTTTCTTAAAGTAAAAAAGAATGTTTCCTTTTTTTAAACTTAACACAATATAGATTCTAGCTAGGTATTGGTCATCATTAACTATTGTTCAATTGAACTTTTTGAAAATGTGGTAGCATTTTTAAAACGTATCTAAAAAACCCACAAGTCTATAATCATGTATTTATCCATTTATAGTCGTTATATGAGTTTATGATTAAGTTTGAACCTTGTTTGAGTTTGGTTCGAAGCAAACTCTGATGTTGTCCAAAACTAGTTCATTACTATTTTGAATAAGGGTTGATCAAGGGTCAAATCAAGCCAAACAAAGGTCAGAACAAGTTCAAACCCACTTGGAGCTTTAATTGAATACAAATAATAAGGCTCTAACTAAAAGAAATTAATAGAAAAAATTGAATAAATGCAATTTCAATGATCCAAACTTTTCAATATAAATATTCCCAACTGAATATGTACAATAAGTCAATGAATAGATACAATTTTGAGCATACAATTCCAACCCTGATACATACAAGAGGAACTGAATACGTAAATTAAGCCTCTAACAGAAAGAACTGAATACATACAACATGGTTCTGATAGAAAGAAATGAACATATATAATTCCATTAAGTCAAGTTTTTTTGAGTTCATACACTTCCAACTGATTTCATGCAATAAAATAAAAGAAAAAATTTCATGCAATAAGATGGATATGAATACATATAATAAGATTCTATATATATACATTTTCAAGTCAGTACATATTATAAGCCTTCAACTAAACACAATTCCAACTGACGAAATATAGATTCCAGCTCTTAGAGCAAAATAAACTGATGAATCTACATTATTGAAAAATGAATAAAAAATTCCACCGACTTTGTACCTGAAGAACTAACTGAATACAATCCTCAGCAATTTTTATGATGATAATTCTTAGAAATTACGTACGAAATGTTTTGGATTATAAATAATCCATATAATAAATACTCCAGTTGGATTATGAATACAATCCTCTACAAATTTTATATTTATATTCCAATGAACTGCAATCACACATGAGTTGGAGTTGCGTAATGTCATCATTTGCTTAGACAATGTAATTTCACCTACTATCCAATGAATTTATTTCAGTTCATTGGAACATATATATA